TCTTAGATTTTCTTATATAGATATAAAAATGTTTGTAGTGACACAAAGATTACAGATTTGGGTGCCTTCTCTTCTTTTCTTGGATTAAGATGCACCACCACCAACACCATATCCTCTCCCCTAGAAAATTTCAAGGAAACTTCTCTCCCTTACCATTTTCACTATCACATTTTTCCTCTAAAAAAAATGGTTCGATTTCAGTCTTAATATAAAATATAAGGATGAGTCTTCCTCTTTCCGTAATGTATTTGAGAAATGATTTCTCGAAATTATAAAAAAATAAAATAAATTATTTTCATAATTAAAAGATAGTGAAGTTAATTAAGTTGAACATGAAATGCATGTTGTTTCCGCATAAATTTGTTTTTTATCCTCAATTCCTATAATTTTAAAATATAATATTGCAGTAACGATGAAATAAGAATGAGAAAACAATATCAAGAGTTAAAAAGGAAAAAAAAGAATAGTAATAATATTATCTTTGTTAGAATTTTATGGGTAATTGAAGGGCCACGTGATAGGATAAGGATAAGTTTTGTTGGTCCAAACAATTTTTGTCAGATGTTAGGAAGTTTAGACACTGACAGGTTATCAAACTTACTATATTTTGAATGTTATTGTCTATAACTTTATTATATGAGATCTTGTTTTTCATACGAAAAATTCTTAAAATGTTCAGAGGTTCTTTTATTCTCAAGAGTCGAAAGTTAAAATTTGTTTCTTCTTAAAACAAACGACTCTAAATTCTTATTTAGATTTCAATTGTACAAAGACACCTTCCTTTACAACCTGTGGTTATTTTAGAATTACATAAGTATTATAATTTTAACTTCATAAAAATTATAATATGTAAAGCCAACACTAGGGAATTCCATTATTAAGATGATGGTATTTGCTTAGAAGTAAATGTAGCAGCTTTATCATAAGTCTACCAACGATATAAGTTTTTAAAAATATAAATAATCAATAATTTCAAATTTTTCTTACAATAAAAACTTTTAGTATATTTCAATCAATCATAAAGTTTCACGTAGTAGAAATTATCACGAAAGAACAAAGTGACCAAAAGTCTTAGATTTAGTAATTACGTATATCAAGATTATCTTCATATCTACGTGGACTATAGTCAAGTAGAAGTAATGAATTGATAGATTTTAGCATCTTTCGTAGTAGTTGAAGCATTAAAAATTCATAACGTTGGTTGATATTAGTAATTAATAGTGGTAGAAGTGGATTACTTAGTATTATAAAACTACAAAAGTTAGCTTAGTTTAGCTTATAAGGAAAAATACTTCATATATTATCATTTGAATTTGAATATTAAAGATAATATTTTGAAAAAAAAAAGTATTTAACGTTTCAAACCGATACGAAAGAATACATTTTTACGATCACCCATTAAAAAATTTAGACTTTACGTATAAAATTCAACATAAAAATACGTTTATAGAAAATTTTAAAAAGATACGATGTAATATCAACGTGTGATTTTGCTAATAAATCAAAATTCTTATTAAATAAGCATATTTATTTTCTTTTTCAATTTTAAGAATTACTAATCTTGGAGTGTTTAACGTGTTGGTGCAAAATTTGTTCTCACAATATTTTGACGGTTAAATAAGCACGTACCTTTTCCTTATGAAGACATATATCTAACTATTTATATATATATATATATATGTATGTATATATAGATACATATATGTGTAGATAGGAAGTAGAAATTGAAACATAGGTTGTCAAAACAGGAAATTTATGATGACTTAAGGGTGGTCTAACTCTACCTTTTATACACACATACATATATATATATATAAATTAATAATAATTAATTTCCAGCTCATTAATAAAATTTCTGATTTATTTGTCAACCTTGTGCCTAAATTTCAATTGCCTTGCATGTGAATTAATTCAATACAGTGTTATTTAATTAATTTTATTAAATTTAAATTGACTTTTTTTTTATTAAATTAAAAGCTTGTCAAACCACATTTCTTGACACATTAATTGTTTTTTTTTCAAACACGACTTTGTAGCTATAGATCATGAATTTGATTTTTTCTTTTTTTTTTTTTTTGAAATTTATGAAGTATGGTGCTCGAAACATTCTTTGAATCCAGACAACTATCAAATACATACATATATATATATATATATATATGTATTAGGTGTAATCATGTATTGATTTGTATTATTTAATTTATAATTAATTGTTTTTCTTTTTTTAAACTAAGAAAATATAATCGTGAAAATGGAGAAATTAGAAATGAGAGGGTAAAAAATAGCCAACAATTAAGATTCAAGAATGCATGGTGTTACAAAACTGTGCAAGATATACATTACATGCACAAGAGAGCTACCTAATGGTTAAGTTAGTCATTTAACTCAATCCTACAATTCAAAATTACAAGAAAAGACAAACATTATGGTTAAAAAAAAAAAAATTACATGCCAAGGTAAATTATGATGGTAAAAACCCACGGGCATGAAGGGGTCGTCGGTATGGCAAAATATCCTACTATGAACTCTATTGGGTAATGGGTATTTTGGTCATTTTCTTTACGGGCATACCTTACTCCCACCCACTCACACATCCAATACGGTACCGTTTCAAGATTAGATAGAGAATTTAATCTTAATGTTTTTTTTTTTTTTTTAATAATATGAGAATTTATAATTCAATAATGGGTGGGGGTGGGGGTGGGGGTGGGGGGGTGGTGTTATCTTTTAAAAGCCCTGAATTAAAATAAAATAAAATTAAAATTTAAAAAAAAAAAAAAATCATGTAAGTGGGTCTTGAAGGGTGGAGTGATCAGGTAGATTCTGAAAGATAACGGGTGCACCGTATTGAGGGTAAAGTAGCATCAGGACCGTTGGTGCATGTTGATATGATGGGGCCAAACGAAACGACAGCCGTTGAAGTATGACGGCAAGGGTT